AGGTAATTTTATGCATATTTGGCCTTTCCGGCTGCTAACGCTTCCGGCGAGCAAGAAGGATGAGGTACGTGATCAGAGTCGCAGAGACGAGGTGACGCCACCCATTCAACGCCGTCTATGACACCAAAGAAGAACTGTTCCACGGAACATGTGACAGTAGAGGAGTCGGCCGCGTCGGCGTTCTCGTCAACACGAGTTTGTCCATGAACATTGATACATTCAAACAACTAACAACCCGAATCGGACGCTTGCGATTAAAAAGATGTGGATCAATACCGACCTTGACAATCTCCGCCGTTTACGCGCCGACATCAAACTATGACGAAGAAAAAGTCGAAGCGTTCTATGTGGACTTGGAGAAGTTTTAAGAGAAGACCATACATTCTTCAAGGTCATCATTGGAGATTTCAACGCCAAGATTGGACGAAAAAGAAACTCTGAAGAACATCACATTGGCACCCACAGATTGCAATGGAATCAAGAGGATCAGCGGCTACCTGTGTTTATCATGACGACCAAGGCCACCCATGGTAACTCACAATTCCAGAGGTTCCATCCTCAGCGCTGGACGTGGGAGTCTCCCAATGGGGAGTACCATAATGAAATAGACCACATCGTAATAAATAGAAGGTTTTGCCTAATGGATGTCGCTGTTGTCTTAAAGTTCTACACAAGATAATACCACCGCCTTCTTCGTGTAAAACTCCATTTTTCTCAGAAAGGAGAAAATCTGCTAAATTCAAAAAAACGAAGTCGCAAAACCACTATAAACTGGGATTTATTCAACTCATTAGTCGGCTGTTTGGTTGATACCGTTGTCGATAACATCGACGAGGAATACAATCGGCTCATTCAACATCTTCATGTTAGCACTATGAAAGCTGACAGTTCGAAAGACACCAAGAGGCGTTTGTCGCCAGAAACTCTCAAGCTGATACGCCAGCATTGAACCGCACTAACTGCAAGCAACCGCGAACTAACGTCCGAACTTGCAAAACAATGCAGACAGGCGATTAAAGAAGATCTTAAAGAGAGAACAGCAGCAGTAATAGCCGAAGATGCAGAGACTGGGAAAAGCATTCGCAAAGCCCACCGCACCTTCGTCAATTACAAGACTAAGATGGTTACACTCCAACGCTCAGACGGAACAGTTACAGCGTCCAGAAAGGCTATGGGGAATATCATTCACGAATACTACTCCAGTCTCTTCAGTAGCCACGTCCACCTTCTGCGATATGAAATAAAGGAGGATGGATATATTGGACCACAGGTTCTCCCCTCCGAAATATGACACGCCATTTCCTAGGTAAAAAATCGAACAGCACAGGATAAGATAAGCACACCTGAAGAACCTTCTGCTAGTCCTCATAAAAACACTGGCTCGGCTCTTCACACGTTACCTGTCTGAATGCAAGGTCCCTACTCGGTAGAAGAACAGCAAAGCCGTTCTAATATTCAAGAAAGGTGACCTCCATGATATCGGCAACTGCCGTTCAATCTGCTTGCTCTCTGCCATCTACAAACTTTCCACTGGAGTAATCCTAAACAGGATTGACAGAACACTAGACGAAGGACAGTCATGTGAGCAAGCAGGGTTTCGTAAAGGATTTAGTAGGTGGATCACATCCACACGATAACAACATTTATTAAAATATCGCGAGCGTACAAGAGACCGCTTGTCTCACTTCCATCGATTTAAAGAAAGCTTTTAGCTTAGCTGAGAATGACGCAGTCATGGAAGCCCTGGACATATGATGAATCCCCATAGTGTATAAAGATTTTGCATGAGCTATGTAAGGAATTTTGCAACGAAAATGTCAACATTCTATAACGGTATTAACATCGACGTTAAAACAAAGGTTAAGCAAGGCGATACCATCTCGCGATAACGCCTGTTGGTAGATTGGTCTTCGACTAATTCTCAGAAAAATGATGTTAATGTAGAACGGAGAGGCTACATATACCTCATTCAGGTTCAGAGGAATGAATAACTCCGAACGCTTTAGTTACGTCTATCTCGGTTGGGAAATCAACATGATGAGCTAGTTAGCTCCAGAGTTGTGCAGAAGGAAGCTAGCGGCTTGGAGAGCTTCTAAGATCATCGAGGTTGTAGTGAGGAGAACGAAGAACAGTCGACTCCATACTCACGTTTCCGACTCCACGTTTCTCTCTTTCTCAACGTATGCGTCGGAAACCTGGTCGCTACGTTAGCAGGATGAAAGTTCACACAACGTTATGGAACACGCAATCGAGGAGGGCTACTGTTGCACGCGGCATAGAGAAATGGGCGGTTTACTGTTGCCCGCTCGCGCAATATGTGCGAATGTAACACATGCCAACCTCGGAATTTCTAATGTGACTGCCATGTCAAGCCATGCGTTTGTTATGTTGCAGAGCGCTGGGAAGACCACTAGGTCACAAAGGTTAAAATGGAGTTTTAAGCCTGCGAGTTGGTTGGTGCCTTCTATGAAAGACAGGAGCGCAGCACATTCTGTACTACTTGTTGGTTCAACGTTTAACAAGGCTCATTGAAGTATCGTGAGAGTACAAAAGACCGCTCTGTCTCGCTTCCATCGATTTACAGAAGGCCTTTGATTCAGTTGAGATAGAAGCAGTCTTGGAAGCTCTTGATAGTTAAGAAGTCCCTACTCAGTACATAAAGATTCTTCGTGAGCTGTACAAAAATTACGCAACCAAGGTATCAAAATTCCACAACAATATTAACATTGACTCTTTTATTTACAGCCCTTTTTCTTCTTAATGGCAGGGTATGTTTCGAATTATAACTCGTATGAAATGCTGAGATATTTGCAAAACTCCGGACCACGGGTGTATGCAGTGGGGAACGAACACGCGCCGTTGTCCTTACTGGGGAGCAGCGCACTTCACCACTACACCATCCGGGTCCTTCGCTTTGCATGATCGATAGAACTAGCTGAGAGACATGCAAAGCGAAGGACCCGGATGGTGTAGTGGTGAAGTGCGCTGCTACCCGGTAAGGACAACAGCGCGTGTTCGTTCCCCACTGCATACACCTGTGGTCCAGAGTTTTGCAAATATCTCAGCTTTCATACGAGTTATAATTCGAAACATACCCTGCCATTAAGAAGAAAAAGGCAGTAAATAAAAGAGTAAAGATTGTGATTATAACTAAGCCTCAGCCTAACTGAGTTCAATGCCGATATTGGCTCCCCAGATCAATCCCGTTGACGGGTGATTGCTGATGGCAAAAAGATCGATAGAACTAGCTGAGAGACATCACCTGATGATCATGCGTCAACCAATCCGTCATCAATTAAGGTTAGACCGATCATCAGTTGTGTTGACGGGCCAACGGATAGAATAACCTGGTTTTTAAGCCTGATACCTACCCAGTTGCTTAGCCACATTCCTGCCCACCTCACAAACACCCAAATGTTCCTGGAACGTCTACGTAACGCGTCTCCCAATAACGCGTACGTGATGGAGTCTTTCGACGTTACCGCACTGTACACCAACGTATCGAATGACTCCGCAATGCAAGCCAACTTCAAACTTCTTGTTGAACATGAAGGAAGAACAAATATGCATGGCTTGTCCATCCAGCAGCTAATGGCTCTCTTAAACGAGTGCCTAAACTGCTCGATCTTCAGATAATCTGGGAAATATTTCGCGCAAATAAGGGGGTTGGCAATGGGACAGCGATTGGCACCAAGCCTGGCCATTGTGTTTATGTCTAAGATAGAAGCCCTCGTTTTCGATCTCCCGCCACTACTCTACTGCAGATATGTAGATGATTGTTTTGTCATCTTCTCTATGCAGGAGGAGATGGACAAATGCTTCGAATTATTAAACGAGCAGTCCGAGTACATAAAGTTCACCCGGTAGAAACCGAGAGAAAACTGGCTTCCGTTTTTGGACGTCCAAATAAACCTATCAAGTAGCGGTTACATGACAAAGTGGTATCGAAAGCCAAATAACAAGAACATCCTTGTCCATTTCCTTTCTTCCCACCCTTCACACACAAAGAGGGCGATTGTGAGAAACATGTTTCGAACAGCCACCTCTGTGTGTACTACCAGGAAACTAAAGGAAGAATCGCGCCACTTGGCTCGGCAAATAGCCATCTCCAATGGCTACGAAATAGTTAACCCACGAGATAAGTTTACAAGGAGAACGACGCGCCCACGCGAAACACTTGGCCAAAACAAAATCCCGTTTGTGTTGCCTTTTATAAGCGATGAAGTAAGCGCAGCTATAAAACGATGCTTAAGAAGGGCAGGTCTAGAGGAATCGGTAGCGATAGTTGAAATACCACCGACTACTCTACGTCGCTAATTAGTTCGCAACCGCCTGTATGACCGTCTGTGTGAAACAACGAATTGCGTAATTTGCCCTTACGGCAGGGACGGTGATTGCATGAGTTCAGGTACGATATACCTGATCTCGTGTAACAATTGCGGAGATGAATATATTGGCGAAACGGGCAGACCTTTGTGTATCCGTATAAAAGAACACCTAGATGGCAAACGAAAACTAAGACGAAGCACCCCACTAGGCACGTATAGGATACAAAAGCATAGCGGAGACGATTTTGAAGTAAAAGTCAATATCCTTGCACAGGAGTCCAAAACACCAGCGCGAAAACTCCTAGAGGCTTTTTGGATAAATGCCAAAAACCCTACAATGAGTAGCAGGGATGAATGCCCGGAGGTCATACGCAACCTGATCCCGTATGTTCGCATCGATTTTTGATGTGGGATGGTGTAGTCGTCAACCACATGCGACTATAATCAGCTGTTCTAAACTTCCTCATTGGAAGTCACGAAAAAGCGGTGGGTTTTTCGAGTTGTTGATCGTGTAGTTACCAAAGAGCCTTTCGTCTTTGTGTAAGTGTTATTGAAGCGTTTGGCCTAGTAGATTGTGTATCAGTATACCCTTCCAGGCTCTGAAGAAGGCGATACTGCCGAAACGTCAGCTAGCGTTGTATTGTATTGTGTTTTCTTTATGGAAGTAAATGTATGCTGTTTAAAAACCTCGCGATTGCTGAGCAAGAAAACGACACATTAATATCTCAGCATTTCATACGAGTTATAATTAACATTGGCCTCAAAAGAGGAGTTAGGCAAGGCGATACCATCTCGCCAAAATTATTTGCCGCCACCCTCCAGAATGTCATGCGAACACTGGAATGGGAGAACATGGGAGTGAAAATCGATGGTTGGCAGTTACATCATCTTCGTTTTGCTGATGACATCGTCCTTATCGCACCAAATATTAGCCAAGCGAAACGTATTCTTGCCGACTTTGATAGAGCATGTGGAAAGATTGGTTTTCAACCAAATCTCACAAAAACGGTGTTCATGAAGAACGGATTGGTTTCGCATGCCCCATTCACGCTCAACGGAACGAATATCTCTGAATGCTCCAGTGACGTCTATCTAGGGCGGGAAATCAATATGATGAACGACCTTGCTCCAGAGCTGTGCAGAAGGAAACGAGCGACTTGAGGAGCTTTCAAGAGCATCGAGGTTGTGATGAAGAAGACAAAGAACACCTGACTCCGTGCCCACCTTTTCGACTCAACGGTATTTCCTTCCCTAACGTATGCGGCAGAAACTTGGTCGCTGCGTAAGCAGGATGAAAGATCACTCAACATTATCGAACGTGCAGTCGAAAGGACGATGCTAGGAGTATCCCGTTCTACACAAGTAAAGGATGGGATCCGAAGCTCCGATCTGCGTCAATGATCAAAAATCAAAGATGCTGTTTTGTAGACCAAACAATCGAAGATAAGATGTTCCGGACACGTAGTGCGTATGAATGACAACCGATGGACAGGAGCGGTTAGTGAATGAATTCCTCGGGACGTCAAACGTACTGCATGAAGACCACCGACCCGATAGTTAGAGTTCTTGACGAATAGCCTAGAAGAAAGATACGATGCTTGATGAGCCCCTAGAGCGAGTAGAACCCACTGGGCTACTCTTGCACGCGATGGAGAAAATGGAAGGTTCACTGGCGCCCGCTCGAGTCACTCGGCAATCAACGAGACTGCAGATGATACAGGTGAGCTGGCCTTTACAGTGACTTTCGGTAGCCTACCGATGTATCGATCCAATGTTGATATCCTTTCAGACAAGTCTGGGACCAATTTCTCGACTCCGGAGGGATTGAAGGCGTGGTGAACCATGAGCCCATTTAGCTGAAGTATTAAAAAATCTTTCGGCAGTTGTTGAACAACCAGTAACGTCTATTATATGCTAAGATTTTGAATCGATGCGGGTAGCGTACACGTAGGTACCGTTAGTGTGGGCAAAGCTTTCGTTGGATTCCAACGCAAAGCGAGCGTATGATTTTTCCAGAGCCCCAAAATTGGTACTAGACTTGTCTCGATATAGGTGTCTTGATAAACAAAGATGAGTAACTAACTGTATGTGACGAAGACCAGTGGACGTCCTACAACGGTAACCCCAAGTTTCCAGAAAGAGTTGACTTGACTAATATTCTACGACATTCATAAAGAAGACCGCAATCCTCGAGCAAACGACTCCACGCTCAAAATGTGGAATTTTCGCAGTATTTGAAGATGAGTGGTATTGGAATATATTTTGAATTCATCGATAGTTTAGAAATAGTAAATTTTATATTGTGTTGTAATAAACATTGCTGACAACTGTGATTATGACAGTGATAAACATGATGTTGATGATGAAAACGGTTTGAATAAACCTGACCTCGGTCTGCCTCCTCTAGGAACTCCATTAGATGCTGAAAGAGCGAAATCGTTAAAGTAAATAGTTTTTGTGACGAAGCCATTTTAAGACGTTTCGCACTCTCGTCGAGGAGAGAACTTGAATCTACCCTTTCATCCACACGACCACCACAACGTGTCCTGTCCAACAGATTGAGTTTCAAGTTTATTCGAACGATTTCAAACAACGGTTGTCTGTTATGTCCACCTAGACTGTCTGTTCCTTTCTCACCTCAAAAACCGTTTCATGCAATGGGTGATCATCGCTACTTCAATTGATGGCCGAAACTCACACTATTGTTTGCCGCCTAGTCAACTGGGCCTTCACATTAACTCCACGTGATTTCGCTCTTTTTGTTCCATTGAACCCTAAAAGTGTTTCTCATATTTTCGCTGGTATAACAGCAATTCACTGTTTTCTGCACATTCCAACCCATCTTACAAACAATGAAATGTTCTTGAATCTTCTTCGTAACACCCGCATGTAGCAGAATCCCTCGAAGCTACAGTCCTTTACAGAAACGTGGCCAATGACTCCGCCATGTAAGTCATCGTCGAAATGCTTAGAGAACAAAATGGAGTAATAAGCATGTATGGTTTGTCAATCCAGTGGCTCATGGTTCTCGTAAAGGAATACCTCAAATGCTCAACATTTAGATAGTCTGGGAAGTATTTCGCACACATGAAAAGATTAGCAAGTCCACAGCGACTAGCAAAAAGTCTTGTCACTTCATTTATATTTAAAATACAATCTCTATTAATCCTTCTTCGACCATTACTCTACCGCAGAGGAAATGGAGCAATGTTCTGATTTATCGAACGAATAGGAAGTGTATATTAAGTTCACTCACGCGAAGCAGAAAAAAACCGGTTCCCCATTTTGAAATTTCAAGAAGGAAGGAAAAGGGCACAAGGGAAAATTCCTGAAATTGGTGCGGTGAACAACCATTTCCAATGGGTACGAAACGGCAGTTATTCGGGATAGTTTGAAGGAAAACAAGGTCCTAAACGGTAAGGCTGGCCACGAATAAGGTCTCATTTATACTGCTCTTCATTTCTAACCGAATTAGGGTAGCTATAAAAGGCTGCTCAAAAATGGCCAGTCTAGAGAATTCGATAGAGTGGTTGAAATACCATGGAACAGTATATGATGCTAACTAGTTCGTAACCGTCTATATGACCATCTATTCACAACGCAGAATTGTATAATTTGCCATAACGGCACAGACGGTGATTGCATGAGTTCGGATACGATATAGCCGTTCTCTTTCAAAACATGCGAGAACGAATGTATTGGCGAAACGGGTGAGCGGCTGCTTATCCTTATAAAAGGACAGACCGCGAGCGTAAAGTTAAACAAAATATTCCACTTGGCGCGCATAGGACGCAAACCCAAAACAGGTTAGATTTTTAAGTAGAAGTCACCGTCCTTACATAGGAATGCTAGACTTCGATGCGTAACACTCGCGAAACATTCTGGATAATTCTCTACTTCTGCTCAGCAAACACGAGGTGTTATTTTACTTCTTTATTTACATACAAGCTGACATTTCGGCGGATTTCGCCTTCCTCAGAGCCTGGAAAGGTCAAGTTGACTGCAATCCAAACGGCCAAACACCTCCATAACCAAACAAAGAAACTTTAAACCAAGATTTCAATCACACTGAACACAGAGTCTTTGCACACTCACCGCTTTCTGTAAGTCTTCCACTAAGTATGTCACCTGGAGACCAACCGCACAGAGTTTACATGGAGTCGTATTGTGCCCATCTCATCAAAATAACAGGCTTATATACTGCCCAATATCACGCGTGATAATCAGGAATTCCTCCCTGCGGTTCATTTTTGGATTCTTGGAAATAATCCAGAATGCCTCTAGAGTTTTGCGCGCTTGTGCTCTCGATTCTTGCGCGAGGATCGTAACTATTACTTCAAAATCTTCTCTGTTATGTTCCTGCGTGCTATGCGTACTTAGTGGAGTACTTGGCTTACGTTTGCCGACTAGGTTTTCTTTTATACGTATGCAGAGTGGTCTACCCGTTTCGCCAACGTATTCGTCTCTGCACGCTTTACAAGAGATCAGATAGACTGCACCCGAACTCATGCAGTCACCGTCTCTACCATTGGGGCAAAATGTGCAATTTTGCGTTGCACACGGGCGGTCGTATAGGCGGCTACGAAGTAGCTGGCTTCTTAGATTACTCGGTGGCATTTTAATTATCGTTACCGAATTCTCTAGACCGGCCCTTCTTTAACAGCGTTTTATAGCTGCGCTTACTTCATTTGAAATGAACGACAGGATAAACGGGACCTTATTGGCGCGAGAGTTATCGTTGGGGTGCCTGTGGTTTCCTCTACACCTATCCCGAGCTGCAGTTTCTTAGCCATTAAAAATGGCTATTTGCCGCGCCAAGTTCAGGGACTCCTCTCTCTGTTGTCTTCCTGTGCACACGCTGGTAGCTGTTCGATACATGTTTCTCACAAGCGCCCTTTTCGTGTGAGAGGAGTGAGAGGAGTGGTAATGAACCAAGATGTTTTTACTACCTGGCTTTCGATACCATTTCGTACTGCAGCCGTTTTCTGATAGGTTAATTTGCACGTTCAGAAATGGAAGCCAGTTTCCTTTTGGTTTCTCTCGGGTGATTCTAATATACTCTGACTGTTCGTTCAACAACTCAAAATATCTGTCAATATCTCCTTGTGTTGAACAAATGACCGAAGAGTCATCTATACATCTACAGTAGAATGACGGGCCGAGGTCGTTTACTGGCGCTTCCACCTTAGACATGAATGCAATGACAAGGCTTGGTGCCAGTCGTAGTCCCATTGCCAGCCCTCTCATTTGTGCGTAATACCTCCCAGACTATCTGAAGATAGAGCAGTTTAGGCACTCCTCTAAGAGTGTCATCAAATGCTGAATCGAGAATCTGTACGTGTTTATTGCTCCTTCGTGTTGTATAAGGAGCTCGCGGATAGCTTGCATAGCGGAGTTATTCTACACGTTTATGTAGAGGGCGGTGATGTCGAAGGACTCCACCACGTAGGCGCTGTTGGGTCGCGCGTTACGCAGACCATCTAGGAACATTTCGGCTTTCGTTGGATGGGCTTGAATGTACTTCAACAACTGGGTAAGTATTAGAGTTATTAACCGCGTTATCCTATCCGTTGGCCCGTCCACGCAGCTAATGATAGGTCTAACCTTAAATAACGATGGATCGGTAGACACGAAATCATCGCTGGATACTAACTTATGGGTTTTGATAAGTAAGTACAGGACGGGACATGTTGGTAAGTCAATTTTGAGATGAGAGATAACTGATGGTTTTAACCCTGCCGCTCTTGCCACTTTAACCCATTCGTTGTTTAACTTTCGGTGTTAACTTTTAAATTCCTTCTCAGACGACGGACGATAAAGGGAACCATCTTCAAGGTGCTTTTCCGTTATCTCAACGTCTAACTTATGGGGAAATACAAGGAACTCTCCACCCTTATCACTAACCGATAGTCTTATGTTCTTCGATCTTATCAACTCTCGTACCTCTCGCATACCATGTTTTTGCACTAGAGTGTGGTTTGAGCTGTATCTCTCGGCACGATAGTGATTAAGGACTTTGAAAGTTTCATTCGTGAACGTCCGATATTTAATGTCAACTTCATTATTGAGCTCTTGTTGTCTAAAGAACAGTCGAGGAAATTATGGTACTGGTATTGCACCTACTTTGTGTTGTCCGCGCCTATGGATAAATATTCGCTGTT